AATTATACAAATTTGCTTAATAAAATATCTTGTAAAAAGTTCTATATAATGCTGTTTCTATTAAAAAATTAATAAGAGTTGTAAAGATTTGTGTAATTAAATAAAAGAAGTAGTAAAAATGAATATTGTTTGCAAAAGAATCTGTTTGCTCATTAAGATAGTTATCTGAGTAAGTTTGCACTTTGTAAAAAATAATTTGTAGTTTGTATAATTTAATAATATTTAAAAGAGTGTGATATATTGGCTATAAATTAAATTTGAATAACTTATTAGAATGAGTTGGTTAAGTTAAAGATTATTAATAAATAGTTTATAATTTTAAATGTTCAATTATAAGTTTTTAAATCAAATCAAATATTTTTTAAATCAAATTAAATTTGACTATATTTAAATTTAATTTGATTTGAAAATTTCAGATTTGAATTTGATTTAAACTCAAATATTTGATTAAATCAAATTAAATCAAATTGTAAGACTTTATAGGCAACTATATACTATCATCCCATCTACCACTTAGAAATAATATTAAATTGTTAAATAAATAACTACAATTTTATTATTATATCAAGTCAATAGTATTCTAAGTTATCAATAATACTTTTTTATAGCTCTAAGACTGCAAGAACAGTGCAATAACTTTTAAATTATGACTTAAGACTGTACATACAGCTTATTCATCATTTAATTTTGATTAAAGCTTACTAAACATAAAATTAAAAACTCTTCTTTATTGTTTAATATAGTATAATTTAAGTTTTTAATAAAAACTTATTATAAAGACCTTGTATGCATAAATTAAGTATTAATATATCATTTATTTAACAATTTTATTATTTAATATTCAACTTTATTAATAAATAATCTCTTTTTGCTATTAATATTTTATACTAATTACCTATTTCATATACAATTACTATTTGTTTATTTGTTTATATTAGTGATTACTCTATAGTTAGAAGTTTATTACTCATGCTATGTAATAATAAACTATATTTATATATATATATTTTTTTAAATGTTTTATAATAAATAGATTAACAATAATAAAATGTAATATTAAATTGTATTTATTAGTTAATCAAACAAGCATCTACTAAATATAATTGATTTTTTTTCTAATTTAGTAATGAATTTCAAATGGCTACAGTCTATTCAGGTTATATTATAATAGTATTATAAATCATATAACAGTTACAAGCTAATTATTTAAAGTTTTATAATATATCAATAAATATAATAAATTAATTAGTTCAAACAGTATAGCTTAAACAATAAGGTAATATAGTTTTTTTTAACTAGTTAATATCATTAATTTAGATAATTAATTTATAACTTTTTATATAAATAAACAATAAGTATATATTATACCTATAATGTTCAACATCAATACAAAAATTACTTAATTATAATTGGTTAGTTTGTAAATTATTTTTAGGTTAGCAAGTTAGCAGGTTTTTTATTTTAATAATAACTTATAATATTAATAAAATTTTTTTAAAAAAATATTATTATTGTAAGTAAAATTTTATATTAAACATTTTTTCTTAAAAGCCAAATATAGTTATTTTAGTAAACTTTTATGATATTTATGATTTTCTATTTTTTTTCTTTAGTTTTTTGATTATATTTCAAATTTATTAAGTAAATAATTATTTTGCTTCTAAGTAAAATTGTTTAACATAAAATTTTACATATAATTACAAAAAAATTTTTAAAATATTTTAATTTTTTTTTAAATATTTCAAAATTTTATTTTTTATAACTCTTACTGACTTGAATGCACAGCAAACTCCATATCTTTAAACCAAGTAATTCAACAAACTACTTTCAAATTTCTTACTAAAAACAAAATTGAACTACAAAACACATCAGCACTACTATAGCAACTCTTTCAAACACCAAACAGTACATACAAACTTCTTAGGCTACAAGGCTTAATTCCAAATAACCTACTTCCAAATAGCAATATCAATTCAAACATGTTTATTACTCTACTTTACAAGATATCAAATAATATTTACAAATAAATATGGATAGAGAGATGCAAAGCTATGTATCAAAACAGCCAACTAACAAATACACTAACAATCACAACTTCAGAACACCTAGCTACAGACCAAGTAGCAGCAATAAAATATAAAAAATAAGCAATCATTTTTTTAACTACTAACATATCTATATCTTACATTGCAACACTAAATCTAAAAAAGTCTGACAGCCTACTCTAGTAGAGTTTTGGGCTGAGAATAAATTAGTCCTAGCTATAGGGCCATGTAATAATTTATATAATTCATTTTTATTAATATAATATCAAATTGTTTAATAAAGACCAAGGCCAGGCCTTACTCTTAAAAAAAAAAAAAAAAAAAATTTATTTTTTGTTTATTTATTTTTGTTTATACTTTTTGTTTACAATTAACTGTTATACAAAATTGGATAATAAATAATCTAATTGGCTAAATTAAAATGTAGTATTAAACATCAGTATTGTAATTTATTAATATTTTAAGTTAATATAATTTAAACTTAAAATATAAAATGTTATATAATTTTAAAGTTCAGTATCTAAAAAATACTTTTAAATAAAAATATTTTTTTAGTTTTTTCTTTAGCATAATTTATTAAGATTAAACTATTGTTATTAAGAGTAAACTATAGTTATTAATAGCTTATATAGCTAATAAAAATAGTTAGTAAAATTAAGATAATTAGCTAACTAAAATTTATTATGAATTTATATTTTAAAAAACATTTACTTGATTGTTTTTAAAGTTATATTTTTTATAAAAAATTTATCTTTTAAATATTTTTTTAGTAAAATTCCACTATATGTTATCTAAAATATGCTTATAATATAACAATAAATACTATACAATTATATTCAAAAATAAATCCAAATAAGAAGCTTTAATTAATTCAATATTAAATGCCTTATTTATTAATTATTTGAATTTAAAATATAGTTAAATTTTGTTGTGATATTTTGACAGGTTTAGTAATTTTTTTTGTCTTTTGTATTTATTATTATTGTTTGATCAGAGACTTTATTGTTAATATTAAAAAAACATAAAAAATTAAGTTTACTATTCTAAGACTGCTAAAGTTATTATCTTGAATATAATTCCAATCTTTCAAACTTATTTTGAATGATTCAGTTTAATTTTCTAACAGAATCAATAGTTTTAATACTCTAAAGCATAGCATCAATAAACTATTCAAATATACAGAAAATCAAAATAGTATTACTAAGATACACTTAGTTAAATTTAGTCTTTGCACTGCCAATGTGCCAAACTTTTTTGCATTACAGTATTATTAAGCTTACAATAATCATTGCACTATTTCAAGCTGCCAAGCATTTAACAAGAAGTTTGGTATAAAGGGTTTATAGAACTAGTCTTTAGCAAAATAAGTGGTAGTAAACAGAAAAATAACTAACTTTTGTCTGAAATAAGATTTTTAAATAGCTCTTAACCTAGCTAAGCAATTTTACTCTTCTAGTTATTTATTTATATATGAAATTATAATATAAACTACATTTATATTTATTATTATAGTATTATATTTAACTTGTTATTTATATAATCTTTAACTAATTGGTACTCTAATGTTAAGAAAGTTCTGTACTAAAGATCACTTCTGGTACTATCTGGATGTAATAATTCACAGGATTTTGTAATAAAACAAACATGAAATTTAAATAATACAAAAATTTAATATATATTTCTAACCTTTAAGTAAAAGTTTCTTAATAAAATTTTACTTAAAGAACAGAAATTTTAAAATTAAATATATAAGAAATTTTTGAGATATTATGATCTATATATTTTTTGACTAGCAGTTTAGGATTTTATTGATATAAAAATACTCTTAAGTAGTAATATTCTGCATACAGTACTATATATACTGTGTATGCAAGAATTTTGTTGATCATTTTATATATAGTCTGTTTTATATGTACCAGAAATATAGTGAAACGAAGTGTATGGTTTACAGGCAATTATCTGTGTGCAAATTCTTAATTCCTATTGGACAACATGTTAAAATGATCATTCATAATTATTAATTATGCATTATTGATTGATTATGTTATGCACGTAAATGCGTAAGAAATTGTTAAATATTAAATATTAAATACGTATACGTATATTTATTTTATCGTTATGCAAAATAAATTCATTTATGGTAATTAATTTTGATGAGATCAGTGGCTGTACAAATATTTATTAAGTCTTACCACTTTTGGTATTTGATATAAGAGTAACATCATCGTCACAAGATAGATCTAAAAAAGGTTACACCTATCGTGATCACGCTATTGCCAAAATTATCTGTTATCAAATCAATTATTAATACCTTTGCATATGTGTATATATGTGTGGGTGCGTGTGCAAGAAAATTTCCCACACCTAACTACGAACTTTACCGAGAATGATCTGTAGCAGAAACTATATTTTTTAACCTGATTTTAGACTATAAGTCAAATATGCTAATTCATTGTAATGATAAAAATATGAAACAATGTTAATAACAGATAATAATTAAGTTATTCAAAAACAATTTAACTAGCAATAACGATCGATATTTCTATTGAGTAATGAATTAATATACTATGAAATTACTTAAATTTCTGCAAAATAGAAAATAATCAAAAAAAACAAAGAGACTTATCATATATCACAAAACTAATAGCCTGATCTATTAAACTTATTAGCTTTTTATGTCAACTGATCTAATACTTTTCCGTTAACAAAGAATGCTATTGTATTGTAGCTGAAATCATTCGATTTGATTATTAAACCATCGCATTTTAGTCTATTATACAATCTTTGATTATATGATTATCTTTAATTAAATTATGTATATTTTGCTATATTCGATTAACAATAATATATATAAGTCAATACAGCTATGATCCGGTAAAAATTCTATTACCAATAATAAATTAATTTGAATATATAAAGCCTTTAATTGTTCTGATCATAAAACCATAAAAAAAAATGGTTTCACATGTCACATTATTTGTTGAAATAGTCTCTGTAAAGACTAATCATTTATGCTCTTACGGGCTCGCTAACTACAAACTTTCAAAAGATTTATTTCAATCAATCAAGTTTAAGTATTTCTTTCCTACAGACCAGCCAATTACCACATTTGAGAGTGGTGATATTGTATTTATCTCGGGTAAATATATTATCGAAAACACTGAACCATATTTCACTATTGCATATTCAACTGTTATAAATGATGCCAAACCAGACCATGTATCTGAAATAACTAATCTTCCAATATGTATTCCTTACTATATATATTCAGTGACTATTAATCACGAACCAAAAAAAGTTAATGAATTTATTCACTTTGGTGCAGAAGCCATTGAATATAATTCTGTTACTACTAAACCTGATATCAAAATGGATATCATCATCGTTTATCCTCTTCAATCACCAAAGTTTAAGTATTTGGGTCCTTTAGGTTCGAATCTTAAACTACGAGCCAATTATTTTGTATCAGGGTAAATTAGATTTTCGAAGTCTGGCAAGATGATGATCGAAGCCACCGACATCAATTATTTAAAAACCTTATCTAATCATACTGAAAGCTCTTCATTGGTAACTCCACATGCACCATCAATTATTGATCTTATTGACGATGATCTCAATTCTGCTAATTCTCAAGTACCTGAGGAATCTACTAAGCACCTTAAGACATTTGATATGATATGTGGTATTTCATATGTAGCAGAAAACAATTAATCACCTAATTTTCCGAGTTCAGAAAGCCAAGATCATGAACCCCCGTTTAATGAAGATAATAAAAAAATCGCAGAATCAGATAATGATGAAGTTAATAACCAAATTATGGAATCAGATAATGATGAAGATGGTAAAAAAATCACAGAATTAGATAATGATAAAGACTTACAGGATGAATTCGAAGGAATAAAAAACACCAACCTAAAAGAAGAAAAAGAAATATCACTAGACCTAAAAATGACAAAGAGAAGAAAGTTAAAAAATAAGCATTCCTTAATTATCAATCTCACTTTAAAGATTTAGTAAATCAATTACTAAACTTTTCAACATCGATATATATTTCTTATTTTTTTTCATACAATTGATAGTTTAATAAAATTTATATGATATTCAAGTTTTAATCGCTAAAATATAAATTGCTCATTATTCAATCGTGTCATGTTAGAGTTACAATAAAACAAGTGAAATACATTAATCTAAAATATAGAAAACATTAACGCAAATCTAGATTAGGCCCATTTTGCTTAAGAAATTAAACTCTTATTATTAAAATTAATAGTGCCATTCTACTCTTCTATTAAAATTCTATTCATCTAATCTACTTCTAAGTTACCCTATTATAAATTTTAGTATTTAACAATATTAAATTATTGCACACATATATTTCAATATATTAATCCAACAATATTTTAATATCTGTAAACAAGATCTCCGATATTCTATTCGTGACCCAAAATATTCAAGTAAACGACAATGATTAAATAATATTAAATTTTACAATCAATAAAAACAAGCTATTAAGTAAAACCATACTGACTGTAATATAATAAACACAATATAAAATGTAATACAAATTCAAGAATATTCGAATTTAAAAATATTAAATTAATTTTTTTATACACTTTGTTCTAAACTATAAGCAATCACATAAATAAATGCAGATTTTATGATCAAATTAAATATGAATAAGAGTAAACTTCTCAATTTAATAAAGCTATTCCTGCCAATTTTGCCCTATAAACTTAAAAAAAATAATCTGATATAATGCTAGAGAAAATTTTAAAATAATTAATCATTCAATAATTTATCTCTTGACCATATTTAAATAGCCTTGTTATCTCTATATTAACCGCTTAACACTCACCACAATCACCTTGGTAAAATAAATCAATTGATTAGTTACAATCTTGTACATACTTATAATATATACCATTAAATTTCAATTTATTTTGAAATTACCATCTCAAATTCTATTAAGCTAAAGAGCTCATAATTCTTTGTACAATAATTCCATAGATATTATTTTTATTAATTCTTATCCTTTGCTATAATAATAATGATAAATATTGAAACCAAAGGTGAAATAAGAAAAAGAAAAAATCACGTACGAATGAAACAGAGACGAACTTCAAATCGTCTTGCAAAAGATCGCCAAGCTGAAGATGCCAAACTACCCCTACATGTCTTAGAAATGGATGAAGATTTTAACAAAATGATAAAAGAACACACTGACTGGCCGCAAGTAATTGATCTAGAATTATCAAAAAATGCTTTAGCTGAATTTCGCGAGAAAACTAAATTAGATAATTTACAAGAATTACTTTGCGCTGTCTGTTCAAGAATGTATTGTCTCAAAGAATTCAAAGCAGTCTCTGTAAATGAAATAAACCTTTCTTTACTTGAAACTCCAATACAACTCACTGAACCATCCTTTGAAATTAATTTTCATTATGATCATCCAATCATTGATTCCAGTGGTTTAAACATTCTCCTTGATCGTAATGGATTTATTTACCCTCAAAACAACCTTGAAAATTGTACTAATTTTGAAACCTATAAGCTTTTCAATTTGCGAATTTGTATCACTTGTCATAATTATTTACTAAAAGGTAGAACACCACCATTATTCTTAGCTAATAATATGTGGATTGGATCTATGCCATCTTGTCTTGAAGATTTAACGATTCCAGAACAACTTTTGATCTCACCAAGATATCCTTGTATAAATCTTATACAATTAACGAAGAAAAAACACACCTATCATAAACTCAAAAGACACGTTATAACATTGCTCCAAAATCCTGGATCATTATCAAAAGTATTACCTTTACCTTTATTTAAATTATGCAAATATCTCAAAGTTGTATTTGTTGGTTAAGGCATGCTCACCAATTATCAACTTAAAAAAATACTCCAAGTTAGAAAGAGTAAAGTAACTAAAGCCCTCCAATGGCTTTTTAGACACAATGTCTTGTTTAAACAACTCAAATTTGATAATGATACTTTAAATAGTTTTCCTGAAGGAGACATACCTGAAGAATTATTATTAACAATTACAGCGGTAAACATTGATCCTCGTAAAGTTGAACATTATACTGGCTATAATCAAGATTCATTAGATGAATATAATCAAACAAGCGACAAAGAAGAAACCAATTTTTTCAATAATAATACTATTGGTACTGCACATGAGCTTAGATCTTCAGGTGTACTATATATTAATAATGTTCTAGTATCAGAAAATGAAATAACATTACTATCTCTTAAGAAACTTTTAGATAAATCCAAAATGCATCTGAATATTAACAATTTGAATCTAACTGATAATCAAAATAAATCTTCACCCTATCTATTATATATATGGCACATAAGAATGAACCTCTAAATGAATATAGAGATATGTCTCTTTTACCTGCTGCATTTCCAGTTCTTTTTCCATATGGTGTTGGTGGCCATGAAGGCCGAACTCAACATATGACTTTAAAAGACTATATTAACCATCTAATGTGCTATTACGATCCTAAATTCAGACAACATCGTTCATTTATTTTCGTTGTGTTTGATATTTTACAGAGATGAAAAGTTTTATTAGAATCTTATAATTTGACAAAATATAAAAATTTTGAACAATCCACTAGATTAATATCATTGATCAAACCTGAAGATATAAACAGAGCCGTTGAACAAATACGAAACAAAAATCCTATAACAAATTCAAAAATTCTTGAATTACTAAAGAATATCAATTCTGCTGGCTCAAAATTGATGGGATCTCATTAATCACGTTTCCAAATACGAAATGAAATATTTGCAATCACAATAAGAGATGGTGCTCCTTCTTTGTTCATAACCATTAATCCTACTGATTTACATAGTTCTATAGTTATGATGTATGCTGGCGCAAAAATAAATTCAGATACTACATTACCTGAAAATTTCCCTTCTGCTACAGAAAATGCACGATTAGCACATCTTGACCCTTCTGCTGTTTCAAAGTATTTCGATGTCTTAATTAAAACTATACTAGATACTATTGTTGGTTATAACAAAAATTTTGGTGGTGTGTTTGGACAAGTACAAAATTATTATGGAGTGGTAGAGTATCAAGATCATGGTACACCCCACTGTCATCTACTAATATGGCTATATGAATCGCTTAATCTAATCGAATTACACAAAAAACTCAAAATTGATGAAACTTTTTGCCAACGCTTATTATCATATGTTAGTAATATAGTTAAAGAAGACATAAGTTATCTTCTCGATATGAATGAAACTTTAACTAATCAAATGCTTGAAAATGAATACAAAACGCTGAAAACATTACAAGAAAAATGAATGCATCCATCTTTTTTTTTAGTTCCTAATCCTAAATCAACTGATTTTGATCAAAATTTTCGTAAAGATTTAATCTCTATTATCAAATGTACTCTAATTCACTAATGTATACAAACTTGTAAAAAATATAATCGAGGTACTGTTTATCAATGCAGATTTGATTTTCCTAGAAAACTAATAGATCCTCCTGGTACCATTTATCCAGAACAAGGAATTATTGCTGTTCAACATACTAATGCATATATTAATAATCATAATCCATATATTACTTCGGCATGCCAATGAAACAATGATATAAAATTTATTTCTGCAAGAAAATTTGCCTTAGCATATATTTATTATATCACTGATTACATCACCAAATCAGATTTAAATACAACTACTTCATTTTTAATCTGCGCTGCTACATTAGAAAATTTTCTGAAAAAAGCTTTGAATAATGTTTCGCTTAATATCGTCGATCAATCACATAAACTTGTGGTAAAATATCTTAATAGAATGGCTGGTCAAACTGAATTCACAAGTCCACAAGTATCTGCTTATTTATTAGGGATTACCGATCACTATACACCAACCAAATTCTCCTATATTCATTTACAGACTTTTGAGCACTACCTTGTAAAAGAATGGTCTGAGTATTAACACAGGATAAATGCATATTCAAAAACAACTTTATCAGATCAATTACATACTACTAATGAAGATGATAGTGACCAAGAACTATTAGACGAATCAGTATTAATATCATCTTTTAATAATAAATTAACTGCAGCAAACCTCCACGTTGATTACCAATTTAGAAATACTGCACTAAAAAATATGTGCCTTTATGATTATGCAAGTACTATTCAAAAAGTTCCTATAACTCCACATTAAATTGCAATGCTTAAAAGTCAATCACCGCGAGAAGGAAATGGACGTGTTGATAGGTTTCTCTTCCATGGCACTAAAAATAACAATTCCCAAATTCAGCTACATAACAACTCACATCCTCAATTTGAAACCCATATCCAAACCCATAGATCACGTGGAACAGAAAGAGTAGTTGTATTATCTGGCAAGGGAATACCTAAAAAAAAAGATATTACTAATTCAGAACGATATGATCTATGTATTCTCATGCTCTTTAAACCCTGGAAAACTGTTCACAACCTTAGAAAAGATTATACTTCATAGGCTGAAGCTTGCCAAGAATTTCTTAATAGTTCTACATTATTATCACGATTAAAATCAATCATTAATAATATTGAATTATTACATCGTTGTTCTGAAGAATCGACTTTAGTTCGTGAATTAAAACGAAATAGCCCTATACTTGCAAAAGTTCAACATACTAATAGATTTATAGAAAATTTTGATTCTGATGATGAATTTATTTTAATGAATAATGAAACCAAACATATATTTAATTTTGATAATGAACATGAAATCAAATTGGACTCCATATCAATTGTCAGATCAGGATTGAAAGACATCACCGCCGTAGATACAGCCATGAGATATTTGCATATTCAAGGCAAATTTGATATATATAAATTTCAGAATGAAGCATTTATGAATATCTCATTATCTGAAAGCGAAATTAGAATAAGCAATAATTATGATGACAAACTCCTCAAAATATGGCAAACAACAATTTCTTCTAGAAAATCAATTTTTCAAGATAATAGTATAAACTATATTAAACTACCAAATACATATATATTGCCTCACAACAATAACCTTCCTATAAATAATGAATTATTCATACAAAATAGAAATACAGATTGTCTAGAAAAATTTTCAATAGGACTGAATAAAGAACAAAAGAAAGCCTATTTTCTCATGTGTGATCATTGTCAAAGAAATCAACCAAACGTTATCAATAAACCATCTCAATTACTACTATACATTACAGCCGCAGGAGGTACAGGAAAAACTAAAGTCGTTCAATCAGTTATTTCTTATTTTGAATATACCTTTCAACATTATAAGATCATCGTTCTTGCCCCCACAGGAATTGCTGCAGCTATTATCTCAGGTTATACTATCCATTCCACCTGTGGTTTTGATTTCGAAGATTATTGTAAAAATGATGCTACTGCAACTGGAGACACATTAAGAAAATTACAAGAATTCTGGAAAAATATAGAATATGTCATTATTGATGAAATTTCTATGATAGGAAAATCCCTATTGGCACGATTTCATACCTTTTTAAAAGTTGCAAAAGCAACAGACACATCAGCTCCATTTGCAGGATTAAATATTCTTTTCTCTGGAGACTTTATGCAATTACCTCCTGTTATCGACCCTGCATTATATGTTCCCAATAAAATTACCTTTCTGGACTCACTAGATAATTTACAATTATTTGAAACTAATGAAATTCAATTTAACAAAATAAATGTAAAAGTGATTACTTAATTAATCACCGTCAAGTCTTAAATATAATAGGGAGAAAACTATAGTTAAATGTTAAACATGTTATTATATTAAAAAAGTCTATGCGACAAATAGATGTTTCATTTTACGTATCTATTTTAGAAAACATATGTAAAGGCATTATTACAGAAGAACAATGCATATTATTACGCTCAAAAATTATTCTAGATCAACAAATAAATAATCAAAAATAGGATAATGCAACATATCTAGTTACAAGAAATGACCTTCGCGTCCAAATAAATTTTGATGCTACAAGAGAAAATGCCCAAAAGCACAATAAATTGCTCATCTACTCGTGTGCTGAAGATAGTTATCGTCATCGATTGTTACATGGAAGCTCACAAAAAAAATTTTTGTCAGTATCTGATACAAAAGAAAATGCGCTTTATGGAATTCTACCTCTTTTTATTGGTATGAAAGTCATGCTAACTGTAAACATCTGCATAAATGATAACTTAGCAAATGGTACTTCATGAATCATCAAACAAATCATATATCATAAAAACTCTATTAAATCTATAAATCAAGACAAGAAATTCATGATCCTCAAAAAACCTCCCAAATATGTTATCTTACAGTTAATTAATGCTACGGCTAGAACTTATGAAACTCTATATCCTAATCACGTTCCTATATATCCTATAAAAAAAGGTTGCATATATACTACATGGAACCTTAATGGAACCAAAATACAACGTAGATTCTAATGCTTTCAACTCTCTTTAACTCCCGCTTATGCTTTTACTGATTATAAATATCAAGGTCGAACTTATGAAAAAGCAATAATTGACTTATCAAACAATAATGCTTATAATAGCATATACGTAATGCTCTCTAAAATATGCAAATTAAATGACTTATTAATTTTACATCCATTTGATGAATCTCTGTTAGACATAAAAATACCACCTGCACTTGATTCAGAAATCAAACGTCTAGAAAAATGCGCAGAACACACAAAAAAGCTAAAAATATGGCCAGATGAATGCTATAATGAAAATGACATTTGCTAACCATATTATTAACGAAATTAAACCTAATCAATTTTAAATAATATTTAATTTATGTTAGAAATACGCTGTACAAATTATTTAACAAATAAACATATACATCAAGACACTGAAATGCTCTATTAAATTGGCGATTAGAATACGCCTAATAAATAAAAATTATATTTATCTTAATACTAACTTTTTTATTAATTAATTTAAAATCTGTGCTGTTCATCACTTCTAAACCTTAAAACTTACCAATTAACAATCTACATTGAAAATATACTTGAGTAGAAAAATATTCTACCTTTCTCTATAAACCTGATCAAGTATTAAACTAATTTTATTGAATAATAATACAGCAACAACTTAACCTCAAATCAAGAACAAAATATCTCAATTCTGAAGAGATATTATGCAGTCTAATAAAAACTAATAAACCACTATCTCAAAATCACCCTAAACTACAAAAAAAAAACTGTTTAACATATTCTTAAAAACTATACCAACCTAACAAATTCACATCAATTAATTTTTAAAACTTTAAACTAATAAAATTAACAAGACTACACTAAAATAGATCAGCTAAAATAAAAAATAACTACTTAATATCCCTACAATCCGGTTTATATAATATCTGATAAAACTAGCTCATGGCCCTTTTACTTAACTCCAAATCTTTTCAATTCCAAACTTAATATAACATCTGTATACAATCAACTCTCTTAAAACAAAACTAGATAATAATTTTCATAAAGTTCAATTTATAAATAT